ATATGAGTAGTGGAATACATGGAAATGGTATTGATGGCTATGGAAGTTCATATAAATTGTTGTTGTTGTTCCTTGAGGGTCATTGTTGTTGTTTCTTGAGGATTGTTGTTGTTAATCTTTGTAAATTGTTGTTGTTGTTCCTTGAGGGTCATTGTTGTTGTCTCTTGAGGTTTGTTGTTGTTATTCTTTGTGAATTGTTGTTGTTGTTGTGTTGTTTGTGAATTGTGATTGTTTTGTGGGATCGGGTTGCGCGCCGCAATACGAAGAAATAAGGTGTGGGTTGTGGTGATAAGGGTTGACGAGGTGATAAGGGTGGCCGAGGTAATAAGGTTGGAAAGCGATCGAAATCGCTATTGAAATGAACTATGAACAAATTGTGAAATTATTGATGTGGAAATGTGGAAGGGGAATCAGGAGAGATTGTAAACTTGTTGGGATTGCTCTTTCTTTGTGGATTTGATTGTTATTTCCATTACAATTACATGCTTGTTTGTGGAGGAGAGATTGTATACATGTTGGCTTAATTGTTCCCTCCTTGTGGATTTGATTGTCGCTCTTATTACTGCTACTTACTTGCTTATGGTTCGAGTTTACTTGGAGCAAAGTTTGTTCATACATAACAGTACAATTCAAATGTACTGACGTCCCTTTTGCCGGGGGCGCTACATTCGTGTTATAATTGTAGGTGGATCCGTAGCAGGTACTCCAGTCCACCGATCGTAGCTCCCCTACGTCCTCTATCAGCTTTTTGGTGAGCCCCTTTCCTCTCGGGGCCCTGCGTGGCTCAGGCCGCTTGTTTTCGGAGTTTTATTTTTGATTTGTGTAAGGTATAGCCGGAGCCTTGTTACCGGCAAATACTATATTATCCTGTTGTACTTTTAGAGGCTCCGTAGACAGTAGATGTGGGTTAGAAACTTGTGTAAATCCGTGTTTACATACGTTGGTAACGAGTTGGTGATTTCACTACTATTATGTAAGTATGTATGTGTTTGTAAATTAAAAAGTGTTCTTAATTAATTATTTGGCAAATCCTTGGAATAATTGAGTAAGGAAAACGTGGGGTAACATGTGGGTTAGGAAAGGCATCCAGGTTTGCTTGGCTGGGGCTACCCGGTCGGGCGCCGGTCATGTCCCTCGAATTTGGGGCGTGACATAAATGAGGAGAATTCTTACTTCAAGGTCTTAATGCTTTCAGCTAAAAGGATTGATTTCTGCTTGTATTACTACTTTTGAGAAGACTGAATTATTCAAAGTCCAAATACTAGATGACAAGAATAAGTAGTACTAACAAAATAAGAAAACGATGAACAATCCTGGATGCACTTACCTCGAGTTTCTTCAGCTTTTTTTTTCTGAGATTGACTTAACTTAATGTTATTCTTCGTTTTAAGCTTTTTCGATACCTGATATGAAAAAAAATAAAAGCAATCGGTCATCTGTGAAGACGTTCAAACATGTATAACATATTGATTTTCTGTTTATACTTGTTCCTTTTCTGTCTTCTTCTTCTTTTTCTTGTCTGGCAATATAATTGCATTGCTATCTTGATCATTCAGACTATTAACACAAGCAGTCCAGATATTTTCCATTTAATAACTACGAAGGTATATTCAACTGAAACCAAAGACAACAGTTGTTTAAGCAGCAAAAAAAGCAAGTGGATTAGGAAATCAATTACCTCCAGATGTCTGTATCAAGGTTAATATCTGCACTAGGCTCCATTATCACGACTAAAATAATAATACTCTTGCAGCCGACAGTCAAAGCAAATTGACAACTTCGTTGTGTTCTTTCTCAAGCTGCAAAAGGGACAAAAATAAGCATAAATCGTGGTATCCAAATCAAGGGGGCTCTAGGGTAAGACAAGTGAAGCTCTTCGCCGGAGAAGAAGACGGAACAAGGAGGGTCGCCGAGGAAGAAAACGAAGGGTTGGGGTGGACGGCGACAGAACCTTTTTTCGGGCAGGTTCTTGTTTTTCTTCTTTATTTAAAACCTTTTTTTTTTAAAAAAATGTCTTCTTTTTATTCGTTACTCCATATTACACGCATTTTTTGTGTTTTATTGCATATTAATTTCGGGTCCTAATGACACAGTAAAGACTCTATTAAGGTGTTCAAATTGAACAGATTTAACATGGAGTATTTAAGTAAAAAGTATAAACAACTTTAAGGGATTGTCCTTATATTTCGCGAAAATATAAAGTATTACTATATCATTATATAATATATGTAATTTATATTTATACTATTATTGATAAAGGCGTAGAGTAACCCAGGTAAGTCTCTCTCTTTTCTTTCTTTCTCTCTCCTTCTGCATTCTCCCCCTTCTGCAGTCCTCAACCAGCGGTACCAAAAACTCTGGGCAGCCATTTCTTCGGACCCTTTCAGGTTTCCAAGGGCAGTAGCGGTTAGGCATCATCGTCGGGACATTAGGAAGACAACAGAGGCGCTAGGAACAAGGGCAGAACTTTGGTTTTTCACAG